TTTTTTTTTTTTTTTTTTTTTTCAAATTTTAAATTCTTAAAAAAATTAATAGAATTATTTTCTCTCTCTCTCTCTCGTGACGGCTGCCACCACTAGTCATCATCCACCGCTACCAACCACTAGTCATCATCCATCGCTACCAGCCTCTGCAGCTATTTTTTTTATTATTATTTTTAACGTTTATTAAGAAAAAAAGAGTTTCTCCTCCCATATTAAGGACCAACCAAGTAAAAATACGTGGAAAAGACAAAAAAAACCATGAATCGTTCATCTCTTGTTTTAACTTAATAAATGAAAAAAAAAATTCGAGAAGATTGAAGCAATGCAACTTATACTACAAAATATACCGAACCATCTTCCAAGTCTAAGAACTGAAGTCTCAGCATTCGAATAAACATCAAAATTTCAAGAATTAAAAAGGGTATTCACATACGATAAAAGGGCAGTGTTTCAGGGTCGATTTGATTGACTTCTTCACTCAAAAATGCCTTTTTAAGCACTTGGAAAGTCATTTCCGTTCATAAACGAGCGAGAGGAGATTGTGAAAATCAACGAGAATGAACAAAAACTGCATATTATTTCAAGTGAAGATGAGATGATGGGTATTTGCCCATCCATTATAAACAAGTTTACAACTCTATTTTACTCACTTATTATTCCAGCTGCTTGCTTCCCAATCCCATAAAACCTGCATTTTTGGAGTTTCTGATGTAAACTTCTAAATCGACGACTTCGGGAACGAACTACAAAAGAGTTCTTGGATTCGTGACGTTCTAGAGATGGTCGATAAAGACGTTGTGTCTTTACAACTTTCGACTCTTTTGATTCTTTGAAGCTTGAAACTACTCGCCCTGCAACAACGTTTATTATAATCTCAGATCACTCCTAATATCTCTACTCATATTCTCAAACAATCTCGACCTGATACCGAGTAGTGTCAGGGCTCGTTCTCTGGTTAAGGCATCTTCAAGTAAATCAGGCAGTGAGTGTAGAACAGTTGTCGTCGTTGTCGTCGTTATTAAGCAATATGCTCGACCAAGGGGAATTCTATGAGGATGATGAATGACGAGGTCTCGGCCTCTCGGATATACTGTACAGTGCCATTCATTATCTTCACAAGCTTCTGGCTGATGTATAGGCCAAGACCTTCCTTTGAGCTATCATTGTTGTCATCAAACATCTCTTGGATTAAGTGTGCAGGAATTCCAGGAACCGGATGAATGATCCTACATAATATGACAACCATATCTCAAAATGATCATTTAGATGCGATTCTAGAGCTAACATCACACGAAGCATATTAAACCATGATCCGCTCGAAACGAGTTTTCAAGATCATGTTTGACGTTGTTCTCATAGATATCTACGGGTTCTAAAGCGCACCCCTCGGTTCTTGCACCGACTACCTCACTATTCCTCGAGACGCTTCACTCACCCCAGTGCTAGCACTGGGAAGTGAGAGTAATAACAGGCTCAAAATGCTAAAGTACCACAACCACAATTTTGATGTTGTCCTCATAGATATTTACGGGTTCTAGAGCGCACCCTTTGGTTCTCGCACCGACTACCTAACTATTCCTCGAGACGCTTAACTCACCCCATGCTAGCTCTGGGAAGTGAGCGTAACAGGCTCAAATTGCTAAAGAAGTATCAGAACCACAATTTTGCTATCAACTTCAGTGCTATCATCTAATCATTCTAAATCTAAATGACTAACTTGGGCTTATCCCATGACAGGACATGACCATTCTACAAGATACTAAACCGTTAACAAACGACGAGAACTAAGAGATTTTCGAGATTTTACCTGAATTCAAGATGAAGAATGTGGATTCCCTTCCCGATACGCTCCTTCCTTGGAGTTGTTCGGAAGATGACGGATGATTCTTTGCAAGTGAAGAGAAGTGTGTTAGTCAAGAACTCAGAGAGCACCTGCTGTAGCCTCATGTTATCTCCATATAAGTGCAGAGATGATACATCAGCAGGTGATTCACAGATGATCTTCACCTGGCGCTCTCGGCTCAAAATCGTGGTTTGATTCATTACGACGTCAAGAACATCTCCAAGGTTGAATTCCCTACAGTTAGTTTCTATGTAACTGCAAGGAATTACCCAAATGATCAAAGATTATAGCAACAAGAGAACAGCACAAGGTATTGAAGCCAAAAGCAAAAAAAAATGTTTTGATGTAACTATAATCATACCACTCCTCAATACTCTGGATATCAGTATCATGTACAATCTTGTATAATTGTTCCAGACTCAAAGTGTTCGATTTAAGTAGCCGCTTTTGCTCTTCGTTCAACTCCGATGAACCCATTAGATTCTGCATAAATGTAATTCCGTCGAGTGGTTTTCGAATTTCTTGGCGTAGATATGCCAACTTATGGAGATTATCAGCTGTAGCTTGTTCTGACATCCGTTGCATCTCCAAGGCATATTTTAGTTCCGAGCTAGCCACGTGCAAGAAGAAGACGACCCCGGTGATCTTACCCTCTGAATCAGTCCTTCTGCTTGCAGTGAGCAGTGTTTCAACGTAATTTCCTTCACGATCACAGAACTTAAACAAAAATTTCTCCGTATCCTGGCCCGAAATTACTCTATGCAGTAGTATCCTAAGCTTGGTCAATGTCTGGTCTTTGACACGACAGCCGAAGCTTTCGAGCGTGAAAACCTCCCCAAGAAGAATCCTATTTGTCATCTCTACCCTCCTAAAACCAGATAACTTTTCCATTGCATCATTCCATTCCAAGCACCGGCCATCGTCATCGGTCATGAAAATCGGAGGAATAAGTGCAGATGGATTTCGCATAATCCCCGTGTAATCGCCTTGGATTTGCGTGTATTGGTTCATTATCAGTTTCTTCTTTGTAACATCCTGCCCTATAAAATATACTCCTACAACATTATTGTTTAGGTCTCGGCTACAGCACGAATTAACTTCTAAGATCACTGGACCATCGTGTCCCGAAATTCCAAACGTTTTGAGTTTGATTTCGATGTTCTTCTCTTCAATACCTGATAATATCCATACAAAACAATCATCAAATAAGGGATGCAGAATTACGTCAATGGAACAATAGATAATATCTGAAGATGAAAAATCACCTTGAACGGCCAAGGACAGCATTTTCTTTACCACCTTAATAGAATCATTCACCAGACAATCAACTAAGGGCATGCCAATGGCTTGCTGGATAGCCAATCCTGTAAGCTCAGTGGCTTTCGAGTTCCAACCATTGATCTTGCCGAAAACATCTACAGCCAAGATAGGCACTGCAGCTGTCTCGATCAAGCGAACCATCTCGTTTGTGATGACACGCAGTTCATCCAACTGTTGTGTCTTCTCATCGACTAACGGGACGTTTGTAATCACCTTGCATTCTTCTTCAACTTCTTCATCTTGTAAAGAACCTCGTAATATTAATTGCAGCGAATGGATGGCGTCCATTTCCACATCTTCCCAAGGTTGACTACGCCGCTTCACCACTTCCAGGAAAGCCTTGAATGATGATCTCGGATGCATATTCCTTCCATCGTCCTGGTCACCGGGGTCATGTTTTGCACCACCCCACCTGATTTCTTTAGCCATATGTGACCGAAACCAGAAAAGGAAATCCTTAGAGGTGATCCTAACAGCAGCCATTCCACACACCTCATCACCAAGAGCAGAAGCACCATAGAAACCAGCTTCAACTAGGCTATCGGTACTTAAACCTGCACTTCCGCTATGGTCTTCGAGAAGCCATTCAGCTATATTCCTAATTTGTGCCTCTGAGGGGGTGACTCCAACTAACCAAAATTTCTTTCTGAAATATAAGGCAGCACCATCACACTTAACAAGATCCATAATATTGGGAGATTGGGTAACGATTCCTACCGGAGTATCTCTTAGCAGCATATCACAAAGAACGGTTTGAATTCGCAATATATGTTTCTCCTTCAACTGAGTTTGCAACTCCACTTCTTTATTAATCTGTATACCAAAAACTTGAATCAAGAATTCACAAGCATATCTCAAAGGAAATGGCACAAACCTAGGACTTGTGTGATGACAAACTACTAAACCCCACAACTTTCTATCCTTTTCTTGATCATTCTCGGATTCGCTATCACTCTCATTGATCGTAATAGACATCACGAGAGATGCAATAGAGCCCATATTCATCATATACCGAGCATGACAACCGTGAGGAGCTCTCAATGCAGACCCACATAGACTTAATGGCTGAGTCAATCTCCTGTCTTGAAGCACCTTAACTGGAGGTGCCAAACAATCACAAATCATCCTAACTTTATTCTTCAAAAAAAGGAACCTTGAAGCTTGAGGTATGTCAGTAGCTGGGTAGTGCAAGCCAAGATATGGTTCTAAGTCCGATCGACAGCACTCAGCTACAACTTCTCCATGCTCATCATCATGGAATTTATACACCATTACTCGATCGTAACCTGTCAAATCGCTAACCTCCTTAGCCAATACCTCACATAAAAGAGATATATTCCCACTCGGCAAGGACTGCAATTTTGGGATGGCTTTAGCTGCTAACTTATAAGATTTCAATGCCCCAGCTGCAGTCACTGGCACATCAGCTGGATTCACTGGTTCCAGATCTATAATTAATCCCACGTCTACTCGATGCAAAATCGCATAAAACGGTTTACCAGAAGTTTTACAATGGATTAGTATAGGATTAAGAAGATTAACTTCCTTAAAATCAGCTGCTTTCTGTAACGCTGCAGCTCCTGGCGAACGAAAAAGCGTTCGTACATCCGTTCCAAAAGTTAGAGCTTCTTGCTGCTCGATGTTCGGCACAGCATGTGGGGCCAAGTCCAACATCTCAGGGGCATTTTCACTATATGCAAGAACAGACAAGTTTTCCCCATCCACAGCAATCATACAACCAAATGGTTGAACTAGACTTCCTCTCTGAATGTTCTGAAGGTATGATTGTACAGTGGTGGCATGAACATTGCTGCTCGAACTTGCCACGTTGACATCAACCGACGCAGAGTAATCAAACAACCTTTCAGAACCTTCAAAGTCTACTTGAAGCTTTGCATCAATTGAAGTTTGTGCAACCACATGAGCTCCATGTTTTGATCGGTCGCCACTGGTCTTAGAACATACAGTCTTATTTGTTGTCATTGAAGACATCTTACAAGTTCCTTCCCAATTTCTCCTGTTCTTCCACTAACCAAACCAATCACCTATATCCCCATTGCTCAAAAGCACCAAACTCAACAGCAAACAAACACAACATTACTTGATACCCATTCCAGAACCCACAAAACAAAGGGACAAAAGGGACTCAGTTAAATCTTCCCATGATTCTATTTCCAGAAACACAACCCCACAGGCTTCAAATTCAACGCCCCAAAAAGAAGCAAGCAAACAAGCTTGAACTAGACAGTGAAATCTAAAAGGGGTCTCTCATGAAATAAAAGCAAAAACAAGGAGAAGAAGAATTAAGAACAAAACTAACGAGATTTGAAGCAAGACCCAGAGCAATTCTTCCACATCTTCTCACGGTTCCACTACACCCACGAAGAATCGACCGAACAAGTAACTTCTAGAAGCTCGAGCAGCCCTCCTAAAAGCTTAGTTTTCTGGAGCAATCAGAGCCATTCGTTGGAACAAAAACCTGGCAAGCATACAGCCACAAGCCTATAATTTCCCCAAAACCCACATAGTTCACAGAATCATAAATTAAAAAAGATGGGGAAATAAAAAAAACCATAAACTAATCGATAGTCAATACAGATAGGAAGTGGATGCAAACAAATGGGGCGAACAGATACGGGTGCGATGGAGTACCCAACTTGCGCGATACGGATTAAGCAACACGTGAAAACAGCATAGTTTGGTTGGTGGGCTACCGGTGGAGTCCAAAACCTGCGGATTTCATCGATTTGAAATGATTTTGAAGATGGGGTTTGATAAATTTGTGCAGTCCGCACGCACTCTTTGCAAAAGGAGAAGAAAAAATAATGAAAAACTTTCGTCGCGGTTCTCGAGATGTGAGCCAAATGACCGTATAGATGGATTCTCTTTTGGTAGAGGTAAGGTTAGATGGGGGAAAGGACGGCATTTTTGGAGTGGCTTGAGCAGCCAATGAATCGCATTGGCCCACCACACCACAATGGAAAATTTAATGAGTTTCTCGATGCTAAAGCTCAATCCTTCTTTCTTACTCACTCAAATTTGGAACTACTTCTTTGTTGTCTTCAAATCTTACTCTTTTTGACCTTCTTCCAGCTCTCCATTAATTTGGATCGTCCCATGGAAGTAGGATTCGAATTAAACATAACATCGGTACTCCCCCATGTATTATTACGAAGTTTGTCGATCGTCTCAAATTAACAACTAAATTTGAATCATTGAGAATTAAAGGACAAATAGATGAGAAAAAATTTCAATAGAATTTAGATCCAGAAAGATATCCAAATCTAGAACTTTATTTCTTTGTCGCCCCACTACTCTTCCTTTTTATGGGAGAAATTTTATAAAATAGAATATACTTTTTTTTTTTAAAGTATAAATATTAAATAAATATCATCTCTTTTTTCTCTTATTTGGTAGACATGACAGCCTCTTGGTTTGACACTCCAAAAGCCTTGACGTCGAACACGAGCAAACCGAACCAAGAAACCTTTAATTGTGAGACAGAATGAAAGTTCAGCTGATATTACACACTGCGGAGTTTCATACCTCAATGACATTTCGCTGTTGGTTCTTTTGTTATTCTGCTAATCCCTTTGTTTGCCCAATCCATCCTTGGACGGTCGAGGACAGTGGATGTAACAGCTCAAGCCCACCGCTAACAGATATTGTCCTGTTTAGGTTTTCTCTCAAAGTTTTCAAAAATGTTTGTTAGGGAGAGGTTTTCACACTCTTATGAAGAATGTTTCGTTCCCCTTTCCAACCCACGTAATCAAGGTTACCCAAAGAAGACAATATCTGTAATCAGAGAAAACCCAAATAAGACAATATCTACTTGCGATGGGCTTAGACTATTACAGCGTAGCATTATTAGCTTGATGCCTGTCGAAAACCAAACCATAATGGACGAACAACGTTGTTACAACGCAGTTTAAACACAGATGCATCCGAACATGTTAAACAAAGTGATGTACTAAAGTGTCAAGAGGTGGTTTCAAGATGAAGATTCATAAGCAACTAGAAGCAGTAATACATGCTTGTCAGCTTCAAAGATAGAAAGAACAGACAAAGCTTGTAAAACTAAGTCCATGAGTATCCAAGTTCTTAAAAAGGAACCATTCTCTTGAGCAGCTAAAAGGTGTTCTAGTAAATCATAGATACCATTTTAGAGAGGAAAACAGTCAAGAAGATCATTGTCACTCTAACCTGACCGGCGCAGGACGAATAGTTCGACAATATCATTTATCATAAGCATCAAAATCTCGTTCCCGTGTTAAACGTATGATCGAAGACACAGTCAGTAGACCTACAGATAATGATTCTTCGAGTAATCATGTCAACAAACCACACATAAGTGAATCATCTAAGCTACTTCAAGTGGAAAAACTATTCGGTCACCAAATCTTCATGAACGGGATACGTTCGGCGTGGAACGATACATTTGAGCAAAATTTAGACACAACTGACGGTCTCTTTCATCACCCCAACCTCCCCAACCCCTGAACCCAGCTCCATAGCCAGGCTGACCTCTGAAGACTTCGACTGGCCACTCCGAATTAATGTTCACAACTTTGTCGATATCTTTAACGTCGATGTTTAACAAACCGTTATCGATACAAACATCCCCCTCGTCCTGACCCTGGTGTAAACCACATTTGCCAAAGTGAATTGCGCTCGTCCAAGGGCCTCGAAGTGAATAAACAGAGCTGCCAAACGAGGGGAAAACGGTTGCCCACATTGTTATATCCCAATTGTATTCATCAAAAAAACAGAACTCCTTTGCTTTCTTATGGATTTTCTTCCAAACAGACCTATTGAAAGCATAACCAATATTTCCCATCCTCTCTGCAACGAGAAAATTGTTACCCTCACCTCTTGATTTCACATCACTAGGAGCTAGATTCACAGAATAGCATTCAGGACATTTTTTAGGCTTCAACGACACGAGAAACTGCAGATTCCGATACGCATTTGGCAATATAAAATGATCTTCCTCAATAAACAAAATATGACCCGACAACCCCCGCGTCTCCTCCAATCCATCCCACACCGTGTTCATCATCCACCACCAATGGTGCTTTAACGAAACGATTTTAGGCAACCGATGGTTTCCATACTGATCAGGATTCCCTCTGCAATTTGTTGTTAGCATAGGATAATGTTTCCCCATACAATCTGTAGGCGAGACACCGGGAAAGCTGTCGGGAAAGAGATGAGGAGAGTATGGAGCAAAAATCTGTTTCACTGAGCAAAACCTGATGTTCTGGACAAGCTTGTCCATTTCTTCAAAGTACCCATCATGGCTAACAATTAGCAAGGTTTCACTTATTCCTGTAACTTTGGACAAGCTATCGATTACGACTCGAAGATACTGCGGTCGATTGTGCACATAAAGTACAATAGGTATATGATCCTTGGCTAGATTTGGATACAGATCTAAGTTTCGAAGTGGCAATCGATTTCGCTTTTCTAAACGAATCGATAACTCAGTTTGTTTGGGCAGCTTAAGTTCATCATTAGAATCAAAACGACCAAAGCCAGCATATGGATCCTCACGAATATTATCAGAAGACCAAGGAGCAAAATTCTGAAACAAATTCGTTTCCATAAGGATCATAAACAGCAAGAACCCCAATAATGTCACAAGAATAACCAATTTAAAACGTCTCAGAGCAGAATCTTTGAGGCGAGGTTTCTGATTAATAGCCATAGTTAACTTAAACACAAAAGAACACCACTTCTGAGATATCACTATTCAAAGCAGCAGCGAGGCATCCATGGCATCAAAACAAAAAAACATAACAAAACAGCCTAAACCCATCAGAGGAGAGACTGAATATTCAAAAGAGTAAGAACCAAAAACCTCCCCTAAAGCTTCCACGCTCAGAAACAAGCAGATCTTCGTCTTAATCCATGACCCAGAATCAGAGCTCCACTCCACAGACTCAAATCCGTTTCATCAGCAAGCTTCTGCCACTGCAAGAACAAGATGAGGGCAAAAACAAAAGAAAACAACACAAATCCAAGGCTGTATTATAACAAGAAATTCACAGAACCAACTGTAGGCAAAGTGGGGTCATCGGAAAATCGGAATGGAAGCATCAAATTGCTTCGAAAAAGGGTTAAATCAAGGATCGATCGCGACGATTTGAAGGCTCGTCCAAAATAAGGGAAAGAGTGTAAATGAAGACGAAGAAGGGGAAATTGTGGGATTTCTCGGAAGCAATCAATGGAGTGGAAGCTGAATGGAAAGACTTAGCTAAAGAGTGAATACGAAAGGGATTCGAAGAAGAAGGAAACTAGAAATAAAGGGATTCGTCCAATCAGCGAGTAATCTTCTTCGTTGAAAAGTATGCAGTCAATCGAAAGGATGGCTTCCATTAAATTTGTCCGAAGCTTGGAATTTCTCTTTCATGGACGGATCCAACTCTCGAGCTCCAAATCAAGCTATGGAGGTTCGAGGCTGTTCTTGAGCTGCTTTTGTAAATTACAATTTTGGCATAAACTTTCTCTTTTCCTTCTCCAAAATGCTCTAAACTATTTGAATCTTTAATTTCTTTATTATATATAAATTACAAATCTAAAATTCTTCATTAAGTATTTATGTTTCAATCATCCATAAATAAATATTTAAAATTAGATATTATAAATTAATTGTTAAGATCTAAATTCTTGTTAAAAAGATTACAAAAATTAATTAACAATTAAAATATTTCCATGTACAAAGTCTTAAGAGATCTACAAAAGTCCAAAAGTTTGTTCTTTAGATCATTAATATTTAAAAGTAGAAGAAATAATTGAACCTTATAAAAAATTTTATATGAAAAAATATATATTTTTACTCTATTAATATTAATTTTAAATCGTGAGCAATTTTAACCCTCTAACAAGTTCTGGCTCCAAATATCGTTAATTTTAAAGAGTGTTCTCGATTAAAACTCGTGTATAATTTAATTTAACTCGTGTATAATTTAATAAAATGGAAAGAAAATTTTAAAGCCATTTTACAAAGGACAAAACTTTTTCTAAGTGTCACCTTTGTTCGCTTTCCCCAATATCAACCTAATGGATTCCCCCCTTGTTGTTGTTGCTGCTTTGCCTTCTCTCTGTCATTGGATGAACCAACAATATTTAAAGTCAGTGTAGAATGAGTGCTGCAAAAATGTTCTAAGCCAAGTTCTGGCTTTTCTCTAAACTTTACGAAAAGTACTTCTAACAGTTCTAAAAAGCACTTTTAATCATTCCAAAAGTAGGAAGAAAACAGAATTGGTGTATCAGAAAGGATCGAAAGTTTGCCTACACTGCCTCGGATCATGATGTTTCTGACCATGAATCTGATAGAGATGGCACCTACTACTTATCCGTAACAGTTCAAGCCCACCGCTAATAGATATTGTCCTCTTTGGACTTCCCCTCAAGGTTTTTAAAACGCATCTACTAAGGAGAGGTTTCCACGTCCTTATAAAGAATGTTTCGTTCCCCTCTCCAACCAATATGGGATCTCACAATCCACCCCTGTTCGAGGCCCAGCGAGGACACTCGTTCCACTCTCCAATCTCCAACCGATGTGGAATCTCACAATCCAACCCCGTTCGGGGCCAGCATCCTCGCTGGCACTTGTTCCATTCTCCAATCGACGTGGGATCTCACCAAGAAATGGCTTGCTGCTGTGTGCTGGTGCTAATCAAGTGTATAGGTAAAACGAATACATACAGTTATGTTAAAGGGTGATGGAACTCATATCATGATCTTGAACTCAAATCTAAGTTACCATGTAGAGCAAATATTTTCAAATGGACAACCATTGTGTTCTTCTACATTGGAGCCACTTCAGTATTACAAGCCAAGCAAGGGACTATGTAGCTTTTGATATGGTTAAGTTGACTCAAATAATCCTGTTTATATTATCTAATAGGGATGAACTCTGGGTAACATGTGAAATTTCAACCTCAGTAATTTACTCCAAGCGGGGCACAATAATACAGATAATTGTAAGAGTGAAAAGTAATTTCCAGACTGAATAGCAATTGAATTGATGATGCACAGTATGAAAGAATCTTTCTTTATACCTACACTAACTTGCTCAACCTACAGAACTCACAAGGATGTCAACTTTTCCAGCAATATTGAGATTTGTGTTTGAAAATGAAAATGTGGATGGAGGGAGGAAGAGCGTATGGATATCACCTTGTTCTTGATAAAGGCTTGAATAGAAACATGGTGACATACTTTTCACGAATCCTGAGAGTAGAGCCAAGTGCTACAAACTGATCTTGGACATTGCTCTGAAGATAGAGATGATTTAATTCTGTACTTCGAGGCGTAATTGGCAACGGTCGACCATCGACTGAAGAAGATGGATCGTTCAAAATGGTTCCTTGCAGATGTGGAGGTAGTTCTGGTGGAGGTCTGTTGAAATCATCTTCGTTAATGTATTGATTGTCATAACTCGACGGTGGGGATGGAGGAGTTTCGAACTCGGACATACTTTCGGGCAATTCAGAAATATGTCCCTGGAAAACATAATTCAGTGAGAATTATGTGAAGCAGCAGTAATGGCATTCTTGAAGCCATGAAACTTACCTGCAAGTCCAAAATATTATAAGCATTCCCTGAATCATCACGAAACCAGGGTAGATCTGGAGCATAAGCCAACCAACCATCAACTACGAAGTGGTAGTGGTAGATACCGATTGGCAGAGTCTTTAGAACCACAAACTTCACACCTGTGTTTTGTAGGAGCTCTCTGACAGAAATATAGGAAATTCAACGCATTTGGAAGGTTGTTTGAGTTCAAAAAAAAATGAAAAAGAACCCGAAACACGAAAAAAGCACGAGATCATCAAAGTCAAATACCTAGTCTGCCAATTGTCCCATGATCCAATGATGGCCACTTGATTCCCGCCATGATTCCACGAGATCATCACTTGCGTTGTTGTCCCCCGAAACACATTTTCACCGAATGCAGCACTCTGATGCAAAGATTGAGGTTGATCAGGTTGTAGCATCAGACCAGGACTTGACCAGGAAACTGTAGCGTACTAAAAGTGAAAACAAGACTATGAGAGGGTTAATTTGAGAGTGTTGTTATTGGTGGTTCAATAAACCGAAGAAGGTACAATTTTTTGGCGGATTTGTTCATATAAATACAAGGTCCCACTCAATGTAGAGACCCTATTTTGGCATAGTTATTAGGCAACTAATACCAATTTTAGGTGCTCTATTTTCTTCTGTACTTTCAGACAACAAATAATAAAAAGGGAAAATCATTCATCTTTACAGCTTGAATTGCACTTAATATCAAGAACAAAAAGAAAGTGAAGAGTTTTCCTTTTTTATAAACAAAGAGCAATTTGTTACGTGTAGCTAACTGACCATTAATTACAATTTCCAGGATGAAGTTAAAGACGCAGAAGCAGAGATTTTATAACAAGTCACCTTCATTTGGGGTGAAGGAAGGAGAAGAATATATCCAACAATTCACAAAAAATTAGGCAGTTATAAAGAGTTAACAAAAGAAAGCTCAAAGGGAATACAAAGCATTAACAAAAAGCTTAAAGAGATGCAATAATCTGCATATTCGTTTATTTAACATATCAGGATGCCTAGAACAAATTCTCTATTCTCATAGTTTCGAAAAGAAAATGCCTATGCGCCCAATTAAAAAGGTCCAGAAATATTCCTTAGTTCATAGATATGGAACTTAAAAAACAAACAAACAAGGATATGGAAGAACAAACCTGAGAATTAGAGATCAGGGCCTGCGGTGAGCCTAAGCTTTGTGGAGAAATCTGAATTCTGGGCTCTGAAAACAGGACAGTGTGGTAGCTGTTATATGCTGCATCGTCTGCACATTCCATCCTTTGGTCATGATTGTCCTGAAACTTACGGGCTCCAGAGTGAGCTTCTTCATTTTTCCTACCCTCGGCATTGTCCATCACTAAAAAAATAGCACAAGAACCAGGATATTAATAACAACGACGACCCATATCAGAATTCTAGCTCAAAGTTTGGCTAAATGAAAAGAATAGAGGAAGCCATCAGGATATATAGGAAAACAAAAACCCACAAAAGATGAAGATTTTTACATATACTTACGTCAGTCGATCAATCCCACAGAAACTTAGAAACCAAACCAAGAGTTGGGTGGAGGTAGGATTCTATTAGCATCTCCCTCTTCCTTCTTAAGGACACTTGGTCTCCCTTCTTTCCTCTTCTTTCTACCCCAAACCCCTCTTGCTGCTGTGATTACAAAAATCTAGCTGAACGAGAGCAGTGGCTTTTTATTCTCCAATGAATTTGGAAGATTCTTTTAGTGGGTTAGTAATTATGCTGATTTAAAAGAGGACCATTGCCTCGTCATCAACATTATTACTTATTTTCCTTCGTCTGCGAGGATTCTTTTGGAGCCTCCAACAGCCACTCCTAAATTGCCACTTCATTGAGATGGGCTCCAAATCATAGTTCAAAATTACTGTTTTTTACCCATCTTGTCTATTGGGACCTCGGGTTTCAGGCTCACGGGTATTGTCATAAATTTATAAAATAATTTATGTATAAAGGCTGGAGATTAGATTAGAAATTTGCCTAACATCGCTTGAAAAGACAGAAAACTCCCGCTTAGAACAAGCAAGCATGAGCTGTTGATTAGAACCAAATGTTTCTTTCAGTCTCAGATAGCAAATTCTTGTACATATTTGTAAAAAAACAATGTAGAATTCATCTTACAAATATTTGTAAGAAAAATATTGCATGGTATTAGGCCAAACCTCTGATTTTCTTAGGGAAGAAGATGTCGCCTTAGAAAACTTGTCTCTGTTGCTGTACGAAAGTCAAATACTCAATCGGGGTGGAAATCCAAGTAACTGAAAGCGGCAAAAGTGTACTTTATCCCTCCCCCCCCCACCCACCCACCCACCCACACACACACACACACAGAAAGACATTCCCAAAGTAAAATTGCCTGCCCATGTGACTTGTTTCCAAACCAATCTCAAGGACAACCCTTAAGGAGATGGATCTTGCCCAAATGTGCTGAATAGAAGATCAAAACATTGAGATAGCTCAATTAGTGTAGTCCAAATCACTTAATACCTTGAGAGGATCCTCTTCTTAGAAAGTGAGTGAAATCCTCTCTTTATGATGTGATAATATAATATTTATGTATCTTAGAAAGAAAAAAAAAACTTCAAAACAACCCCAATGGGCAGAGCCAGAGGAACTAAACTAAGGGATACAGAAGTCATAAAAGGAAAAGTTAAAGTGGCATCTCGTTCTTTTGCCCATCCAATCAATGATAAACAGTTAAAAGTTGAGGGGAAAAGATACCAATTCTAGGCTTAAACTTTTGCAATCATTTGGTCCTTAGGGAAAAAGGCAGTGCTAGAATCTAATGAAAGTGATTTTTCTCTCTCAACAATCAGCAACTAAAGCAGGAGAGTGAAAAAAAAAAAAAAAAAGAGAAAAATAGATAGGTAGGGATGAAAAAAACGAAAATAAATGCAGCCCATGTTAGGAGGTAGCACGTACATTGTAAACTGTCACTGCCCACCTTTTGCGTATGGAGTTTAGAGTTTGGTGGTTAAATGTTGACATCCCCAAGTTGGAGATGCTGACACTGCCGCTCGGTGGAGCATCTACGTGAGCCTGCTTCTTCCTTCATTGGCCCCTCCTGACAGCAATGTGCTCGATGTAGATCTTCAAAAGAGACATCTCCGGAGCTGCCATAAAAATCTTCATTGTTCCATCACATTCAAAGCAATCCCACTTACCATTATCTAGACTCGGTGATTTTGTTCAGGGTGATTGGGAGGGAGTCCCACCTTAGCAAATTAAGAAGATGATCATGGATTTATAAGTAGGGAATACATCTCCATTGGTACGAGACTTTTTCGGAAACCAAAAGCAAAGTCATGAGAGCTTATGCTCAAAGTAGACAATATCATATACTTGTGGAGAGTCGTGATTCCTAATAAATTTAAGGGTGCAAGTTTAACGCTAACATATCTTACTAACTCTAGTACGCTACAACAAACAACTACCAAATATTGATATAAAATAAACATTTATACCCTTCAAGCTATAGTTTCTATAGTGAATTTGACTGGTGGGATTCATTCACAACTACAATTGCTGTCGTCTTAATTCAAAAGAATCAAACCACTTTCCTACGAAGAATCAATTCATAATTGATTACCAAGTTGTAAAGTGGACCCATTAAAGGAAATTTTTTTAACTTACCCCCATTGAGGCATTTTGTCAAACACCTTGCAAGTGGTTCAGAAGAAAAAGAAGAAAAGGGCAACTTAATTTGTATGGTTGTAGAACTGCCACGGCTTATTCAGTTCCATTTCCACTCCCATTCCCATTCCCATTCAATCTGAGGGAGAAAAAATGTGGGTATGACAAAAAGGTACAGTATGAAACACTACCTTGTTTGAACCGTCCACTTCGCTTGGAATTTTCGAAGCTTCCAATTCTTCCTTCGACGGTCATATGCAATTCCAGCCACACTTGATCATAGCTGTGCAATTTCCTTGGATTCATAATTTTTGAAGAGAACTACGAGAAAGCTCCTCTTTCTCTTACTCAAAAGCCCAAAACTGAGCTGCCCATACCCATATGATGAATTCATGGGTGGGTCCTCAAAATTCGGAATGGTTCAATTTTAAAAAATAAATAAGTTTTTCCTCAACTTTTACTTCCAATTTCAACCAACAAAACTATAAATTTTGATAAATATTATAATTTTTACTTCCAATTTAATGTTTTAAATATATCCATAATTTCAAAATACAAATTTACACTAAAAAAATATATTTTATTATTATTATTTTTATGAATATAGTATTTTAGACCATATCCATATATATTTATTTTTAAAATGTTTTTTTATTTTTATTTTTTTAATGTTTATTAATGTTTTAGAATATGTACCCAGCCCAAATTAGCGGCCCATGTTATAATTTTAATGTTTATTTTTTTATTATTTTATTTTTTTCTTATTTATAAGCTAAATTTTAAAATTTTTCTCACATTTAAATGTAAAAAAAAAATAAGAAGAAGAAAAAAGCATAATAAATGTTAAGAGTAGCTCAGGCTAATTTTAAATTTTTAATAATATATTGTATCTTCGACCAAAAGGTTAAAATTGTAAATTCGTCCTTCATTGGTTGAGCTTGAAAATATTTATCACATTTTTTTTATAATATATAGTTTTGATTTGTGAGTAAAAAATGAGGTAATATAATTGTTGTTAGATTAAATGTATAAACAAATTTCATTTTTGTACGATTAAAATCGACCCCATAAAAAATAAGTAGACCCCACACTAAAGTCGAGTGAAATAAATTATATGAAAAAACTCATTAAAAAAATTATTTGAATATAATTCAATTGATTAAATTATAAAAATAATACGAAAAATATTCGTCATTCTTAAATCTTTTTAAAGCCTTAAAAAGTTGATAATATACCAATAAATTTTAAAAAAAAAATTAATAAAATCCCAAAATTTTAATTAAAATTATTGAATAAAATTTAAAATGTAAAAACTAAAATTGTAATTTATCATTTTAATTTTCAGTTTTCAACTTTTATCATTAATGTGAGAAAGTTTCAGGAACGAGACATGGAAAAGACATATCTACCCTTATGTTAATAAAAACAACAAGACATGAAAAGACACATTTACCCTTACATTGATTGAAAGGAGCAAAAACAACGGACATTTTCGGAATAAATGCATAAAAGAATTAAATATTGAAAAAGGCTGATTAATTAAATACACAAATGTAGTTGTCCCACGAGGCATCCTCATGCCAGACTGGCCTTTGTCTACCGACACTTGTGGGCCCTACTCCACCTCACCAATTTTATTTTATTTATTCTTTCTTTTTCATCAATTAAAATGTTTTATTATTTTTTTTTCCTTGTATTTCATATAATGGATTCGATGATTTTTCAACCACCCTTTTTTTATTATTATTATTTTTCTAATTAAATAAAAATATATCAATAAGTGAATTAAATCATAGAAATTCTATAACATATTTTTTAATTATTTTTTATAAATGGTTACAACAAATTATAATTTAAGAGTATTTTATCATTATTTTTTATTTAAAATTTTAATTTTTAAAATCTAAACCTAATTTCAAATAATTAAATAATTTTTTGAATACTTTTATTATTTATTTTGGTTTACTTTGACTAATTACTAAAATGGTTAATCAACTTTTATTTTCTTTTTAATTATTAATATAATAACTCAAATTATTGAACCATTTCTTTCTTTTCAAAGTGGTTGGTGGGACATCATCTGCGGTGCCCTTTTCCTTTTGTCTATTTCGGCTTTAATTTATTATTTTTAAATCAATAAACATATAATTTTATCCCCCAACTATTTTGTGTCGGTTTAGCAGAAAATTAATAATAAATTATTTTATTTTAATTTCGAAAATTTTCGGTGTTTATTTATTTTAGTAGTCAAACATTTAATCAATTTTTTCTAAAAATAAAAATTATCTTAAACTTTATTAACAATATCGAAATATATTCGAGTATTTTAAATTTAATTAATTAATAAAATTTAATTTATTGTCGTGTCGTTATGTTTATATATATATATATATATATATATATATTACTTGCAAGTTACAAAAGGTTACTTAAGTCAAGTATCTTACCTTTACTTCTATCTATTATCTAAGCCTTATAAAATAATTGGAATTTATTGCTAAAATATTTTACTTTTTAATTTTTTTGAATATCCAAATGTCTTTTTGACGCTAATTAAAAATTATTCATAATTTACTAATTTTTTAAACATCTCGGGTTCACTCAGTGAAAAATATTTACTTAAAAATCACTTCAAGGTGACGATTTAAAAAAATATTTTACTTTTTAATTTTTTTAATTTTTTGAATATCTAAAATGACTTTTGGACGCTAATTAAAAATTATTCATAATTTACTAATCTTTTAAATGTCTCAGTTCCTTGGTGGAAAATATTCACTTAAAAATCACTTCAAGATGACGTTTTTTTTTTTAATGAAAATGAAGTCACCTACTTGAAAAAATGTATCTGGAAAATTTTATTTTCTCAAAAAATACCATTTTTTCGTATTTTTATAACTATATTTAAAAGGATCTGTATTATTGTACTCGTCATAATGATATTATTATTATGAATTTATTTGCTATTATTTTGATAGATTAACCAACTTATACATCACTTATCTAATAAAAATAAAAAATAGAAATAAAATTAATCCGAGCATAGTACTACAAGACATTCGTTACCGTTGAACAAAATTCGAAATGAATCATCAAATCTCCCACTAAGCTACCGAGGAACAACGGTAAATTAGGTTTCAGAGAATTCAATTCCCGTTCTCAACCCATGACTAATATGAGCTCGAGGTTTCCTTCGTAACTTTCGAAACTTCTTCGTAGCGGCTCCGCTCCATGCCTCAGAGAACCTCAAAGTGACTCTGTTTTATTATATTCTAGATGGAGCCAACTCTTTTAATGGTTGAATTAATAAATTAGACATAAAAAAATTATATTATTTATATCTAATAAATTAAATAATTTTTAACCCAAAATTAGGAGTTTATAAATTAAAAAAAAAAACAATAAAAGTGATAATTTTAAACCATATTCAACCAATCACGTGGGCCCACCGAGTGTGGGGTCCACTCCAGTTTCCCTGAGCTGTCTCCCATGCTAAAGTTTCTGGTTGGTAGACTCTGTAGCAAAAACTCACACTCAAATCTCACCATTTTCATCTTAGTTCCTCCATTCTTAAAAACCTCCCCGAATCCCTCTCCTCACTACACATTTCTTCACAAAATAAGCCTCCATTTTCCTCTCCGTCGCCACCGTCTCAACCACCGTCATGCGGCGTCCACTCCCCCTCTCCGCCGCCGCTCTCGCGCTTCCTCTGTTCTTCCTCCTCCTCTTCTCCTCTACTGCTGATGCTCACAACATCACCAAAATCCTAGCCAAACACCCCGAGTTCAGCACCTTCAATCATTACCTCTCAATCACGCATCTCGCTGGTGAGATCAACCGCCGTCTCACCATCACCGTCCTCGCACTCGACAACTCCGCCATGTCCGATATCATCTCCAAGCACTTCACCGTCGGCACAATCAAGAATGTGCTCTCGCTTCACGTTCTTGTCGATTACTACGGCGCCAAAAAACTCCACCAGCTCTCTAAAGGAACCACGCTCTCTTCTACTCTCTTCCAGGCTTCCGGCTCCGCCACTGGAACCTCTGGATATGTCAATATCACAAATCTGAAAGGCGGAAAAGTCGGATTCGGCTCTGAGGATAACGGCGGCGATCTGAATTCGTTTTATGTCAAATCGGTCATGGAATTGCCCTACAATATCTCCATTTTGCAGATCAGCAAGGTACTGTAATTTCAAACTTGCTCCCTAGCGTACAATCTGAAAATTAGGGCAGAACTTATTCGTCCTCTAATTAACTCTCAAATGTAATTTAGTTTATCTAATTAATCACATGATAAACTATATCATGTTATAATAACTGTTAAATGTGTATTCAAATATCTTATTTCATTTATAATAATAATAATTTATTTATTTATTTGCTTTCACTATAAGAGAAAATGACAATTTGGTTAGTTAATTAACAGTTTTTGTTTACAAATTGGGTAATATTTTGCAGGTTATAACATCCGCCGATGCAGAGGCGCCAACGGCGGCGCCACTCAGTTTAAATCTGACGGAAATCCTGCCTAAGCAAGGCTGCAAAGCCTTCAACGATCTGTTAATCGCCACTGGCGCCGCGGAGACCTATCAATCGAACATCGACGGTGGATTGACGGTGTTTTGTCCCACAGATGCCGCACTCAATGCCTTTCTTCCAAAGTACAAGAATCTGACGGCTGCGCATAAAGTGTCGCTGCTGTTGTACCACGGCATGCCGATTTACTTGTCGTTACAGATGCTCAAATCGAACAACGGTGTTGTCAACACGCTGGCTACCGACGGTGGCGCTAAGTACGATTTCGACATTAAGACCGATGGCGAGGATGTTACGGTGAAGACGAAGGTTGTGACGGCAACGGTAACGGCGACGCTGATTGATTCGGAGCCGCTGATAGTGTATGAACTCGACAAAGTGTTGCAGCCCCGGGAGCTTTTCAAGGCAGTGCCGGAGGAGGAAGACGAGGCTCCAGCGCCGAAAGCGGCGAAGAAGAAGAAGACCAAGGCACCATCGCCTACGGCATCAGACGGAGAGGAGGAGGAAGATGCCGACTCGCCGATCGGCTCCGACGAATCCGACGGCGAGCCAGAGGATCAGAAATCAGACAAAGACGGGGCGTTTGGATCGAACGGTCAGAGATCGATCGTGGCCATGATATTGAGTTTGTGGTTGTCTGTTTTGCTCGTATGATTCTTATGATGGAAGCGGAACGTGGCACGATATTAGAGGTTCGTCATTCATAGACAAAATAAATCCCACTTGTATTTGGCCATTTTTTATTTATCTTTTTTTGTCGGTGATGTTTTTATTTTTATTTTTTTCTCTTTTTTTTTGGATGGTGTACAGTTACTTTAAATATCCAATTGGGTTGCATTGTATTTGATTTGGCTTTATTTTCCCCTCATTTTCAAAGAACAATAATTTATTTAAATTGGAATAATTATTTATTTCTTTTTTTTTTTCCAAATTTTATTCATTTTTCATATATGGATAGAAATGTCATGTGGACATAAATTTAATAAAAAAAAATAATATGGAATCTTATTATTGTGTCGGTGGAAGCAAAGTCCCAACATTACCTATTAAATATTTATAAAAAGATGGGAATAATATTATAAATTTTAAAAGAATATAAATATGTTTTAAAATATTTATAATAATTTAAGCTAATATTTATATGTATGCGAGAATTCATTTAAAGTATATAGCGACGGTCTAAAAAGTTCTCGATTATAGATAACAAATAAACTTCAAACGTCAATCTAAACATAGCTCTAACGAGATCAAATACTAAAAGTTCTCGAGAAATTTAACCTAAAAGGAGAGAAATAACATGAAATATATAATCTCGACTAAAAGGTTAGAGGTTTGAATCCTCCCCTTATTAACCCATTAATCAATAAATGTTCTTCGATACACAAATGAATGATCTGTATACACAGTCTTCTAAGATTGTGAGTTCAAATTTCCAGTTTTGAGTAGATGTAAGTCCTTTTCCCAGAGGCAGAATATGCGGGCTTCGCCGAGAACCCGATATAGCTGTCGTTTGCCTTTGCTAAACATATTTTTGCGACGTAGTCGAAACCCGAATTTTCTTTTACAAAGGGTTGGTCTGCATATTCTTCAATGGGCATCCACTGTTTTGAGGGGAACAATTTTATCACCAGAACCCACATCAGGATATTATCAACAGGCAATTTTTCTAAGAATGTAAAAAGGAATGTTTAGATGCATAATAAATGTTTGAATATCGAAACGTCGAAGACGAAGACGAGCTAGTATCATGTTCCTGGGTCCTGTTTAGACAAAGGGTATCTATCATGTTCCTGGGTCCTAAAGTTTTTAGATTATTGATCAATCATTGACATGGGAACATTGGATTCCGATTTTCGGGCTCCGATAGCTAGATCAAGGAAGAATTTTGCTAAAACAAAAAGTAACACAGATCATCAAGTATCAATCATTTTCTACTAAAATATATACCTTGGCTGCCTCAATTTCTGAAGCTTGCTTTTGAATATCGAAGGAACACGGTTGTAACATGCACACGAAAAACAAATCCGATTTCGTAAAATACGAAGCGTGGCTTTGCCTGCATTGCCCAAGAAAGGAGCATATGGTAAGGAAGAGAACTCTTCTCTTTTGGTGTAAAATGTGAAGGAACTAATGAAGAACGTAACCCGAGCACGAGGGATAGAGAGTTCAAACCTGAACGCTAACACTTCTACAAATTCGGCATCAACCTGAAAGGAATTCAAATGAAACTGATAAACATTTGCTTTTTTAAAAATATATATACAACTGCTTGCTTGTTGTTACTTACACCAGTCTCTTCTTTTAATTCTCTAATGGCTGCTTCACAAATATCCTCTCCCTACAGAAAGGATAAGAACGTTAAAGGATAAGAAGGCTTATTGAACTGAGAAACTTGCAGCAAATTGACGTTTGTTCACCTCATTAACCACTCCAGTTGGTAACTTCCAAACACCTGAGCCTCTGAATATGCCACTGAGCTCTTGAACCACAAGCAGCTTCAGAATTAGAGTATTAATGTTAGCTACTAGAAGAAAACAAGAGCTCTTCTACGTAAAACCTTTCAAATAGACACTAAATTCTGATTAATAGTTTGGCTCATTAGATGTAACGGCACTTTCTAAGATCCCACATCGAAGAGAACGAGACATTCTTTATAAGCATGTGGAAACCTCTCCCTAATAGACGCGTTTTAAAAATCTTGAGAGGAAACCCGAAAGGGAAAGTTCAAAGAGGACAATATCTGCTAGCGATGAGCTTGGGTCATTACAAATGATACCAGAGCTAGACAACGGGCAATGTGATAGCAAGAGGCTGAGCCTTGAAGGGGAGTGGACATGAGAAGGTGTGTCAGCAAGGACGTTGGGCCCCGAAGGGGGGTGGATTGAGGGGTCCCACATCGATTGGGGAAAGGAGTGCCAACAAGGATACTGTCCCCGAAGGGGGTGGATTGTGAGATCCCACATCAGTTGGGGAGGAGAACAAAACATTTCTTTATAAGGGTGTGGAAACCGCTCCCTAATAGACTCGTTTTAAAAACCTTGAGGGAAAGCCCAAAAGGGAAAGCCCGAAAAGGACAATTTCTGCTAGCGGTAGGCTTGGGCCATTGTATTCATTATTCCTAAGAACATAGTATTTTTTTTCAGTTCGTTGAGTTTGGAAAGTACCTCTCGATTACTATTCATTACAAACGCACCAATGCCCACACGATGTGAGGCATTAGCAGGAAGACTGTTAGTAGTTTCAGCGATCCATCGTACAAGCATTAGATAATTGCGTTCGGCATGGTGGAAGTCGAATCCTTCCTGGAAATCAAGCAGAGACAAAAAGACTTAAACATTTTAACTTTCGGCTAACCATTCTACAATAGATTGACCAAACACCATATGATTCAAATGATTAAAAACTCATAAATAGAGTACTCCTTTCCTTTTCGTTTTAGATATCTCGACTAACTTACAACGAATCTTACGACACATAACAACGTACTTAAACTTGATATAGCCACAAAATAGTAAACCGAGCTTAACGTTTTCTTTACAAAACACCAAATATGGATTTGAGATTATCAGAAACCTTTACATGGTTCAATCTTAATCTTAGCAGAAAGTGCATCAACATAGCTGCATTTATCATACTATGAACACTTCGTAAATGGCATATGCTTTAAGAACAAGTATCTTTTACGGATTTGTATGAACAAAATGTACCTTAACAACAACTTCAATAAGATTTGCAAGTTCAATAGGTAATTTGATCCAAATGCCTCTCTTACCCTGCAAATCAAAATGCAAACAGAAACCATAAATGGGAATTGAAGATAGGTATCCACAAAGAACAATGTTCAACCTAAAACATGACAGAAATCAAATACCAGCTGTTTCCATTGAGATAATGAAGCTCTAAGCAAGGAGCCAAACTCCTTTGGATCCATAGCTTCCTTCATTTCTACAATGACTCCATCATAATGATCATAAACTCCACTCAACAATTCAACCTGTTCAATATTATCTTGAGAAGTCTCTTTGTCTGCAATTTCCATTGAAATCGATGATGAACAAGACATGCTTCGGCTGAGTGTTAGTCACAACTGCAAAATGACAAACGATGAGCCCTTAATAAGTCCACATGATTATGCAATAATTTCAATCCAAACAAATCCGTATCTCAAAATCCCAATCTTATCGGCACAGAAATCAAGAGAGAATTGATTAAAATATAAGAAGACCCCACATAGAATTGGCTTAAAAACGCACAATAACAACAACAAGAAAACGGATTAAAAAAGGAATCCATACATGTTCTGAAGCTCGATTACACAAGAGATGAAGCGCAGGTCTGGCTAAAGGAGACCAAATCGCTTTAAATAGGGAAAGATAAGGATATAATTTAATGGAATTTCAACAGCTATATGACATTCAACCCAAATGTTTAGAGATTTATAAAAGTAAAAGAGAAAGAGGCATTGCCTTGAAGGTGGATTCAACGACGAAGCTTCCATTTGAACACTGAAAAAGCTTCATTGTGATCTGAAATCGATGGAAATAGAAGCGTAGTTGATGAAGACGAGTCAGACCCAGATTAGACGCCGCGTTGATCCCTCGTATTCTTGTTTCCTTCGACGAATTGAATCGAAATTATTAGAAATTTATGAATTTTTGTAAATTTTATCGCAAAAAAAAAGTTATTAACGCTAGGTTAGAATATAATAAGCTATTTTTATATAATTTATATATATGTATTTAATGAATCATATAGTTAATATATAATATTATTATATTATATAGTATACTATTTCTTTAATATTTAAAGATTATTCCTTAGTTGGAGTAGGTTGGAAAATGCAAATATATATATATAGTCAAATGAGGTGCAACAGATCAATAGTTATTTTTTTTAATAAAATATATGATAGGTACGCGTGTGAATAGTCACACCAGATAACTATTCATAAAATTCTTTTTACGGACCAGTTAAAATAGTTATTAAATTTCAATTCGATCTCAAGAGATAAAATACATATCAATTACGGCTGAGCTATGTTTACATTGACAACTTAACACGTTATTTTATATTGTCAACTTAAGACGTTTGATTATTGCCAGATTTTCTGTAACGAAAGAGATAGAAACGGAAAAACAGAGATAATATGATGAATGTACAGAATTAAAGAGTCGAGTTTCTAATGAATATAGCTAAGTGGATAAGAATACTGAGATTATTGTCTTAGAGGTCGATGGTTAGAGCTCGATCGAGTCTTTTTAAATTTATATTATATTATCCACTCTTATTTTGGCGAGCTTTTTCATTTTGTTTTTTAATGAAAAGCTAAATATGGTTCTATCCTAACTTTTCAACTAACAATAATTAAAAAATAATAAAAAATTGACTAGATTCGAAAAATTGTTTCTTTAACGTTCATTTTTATTGACGAAATGGTGACCTTCCAAAACCAGGGGTCTTCGACTTCGAGTCTGCAACATACGATTAGCCAGCCTTGTGGCGACATGAGGTTTACGATGAAACCTAGAAATCGATCATTGATCATATTTTGACTTCATGTAGGTGAGTTGCAGCTTACAATCCGAATTACGGATCAGATTTTAGCTGAACTTCATTCGACAACGCTGGATGGAAGTTTGAATTTTTTGATAGTAAAAAATTGATTAAAAAGTATAAAAAAAATTACTTTTTAAATTTTAAAATATGTAATATGCAACTTATAAAAAAAAAAACATGACAATTAAATATTTATACTAAAATCAAATATAAACATAATAAAAATATTAAAATAAAATTTACAATATAATTACCCAACTGGGCCCATCCCATTGGGCCTTGAGCCAAAATGGGCCATAATAACGAGCCCAAATCAACTATCTCAACTTATTTTAAGGATAATTGATATTTACTATCTTAAATATTAAAATATTTACCGTATTTATTATTTAAAAAATAAAATATTGAATAACATTATTTGAAGAAACGGTTATAAAATTAAATAAATGTAATAAATAAGTTGTTGGTAGGTAGAAACTCATTCATTATTAATTGTACTTATTTTATTCATTAAATTGTTTTTTTTTTCTCAATTAAATATTGTTTCATTCAATGGTCTAACCCCAAAACGTGGGGTTCAATTTTTCTTTAATTTAATTTATTGTGTTTGTCAAAGTTTCATATGAACTTAAAATATATATATATATATATATATATATATATATGCGCCTACCAAAGATTTTTCAAATTTATAAGTCATTTATTTTAATTTTATATTATTACTTTTTATTTATTCCATACAAAATTGAAAGTTTAATAATTTTAAAACAAAATTTAATTTTACGAATAATCAAATTCATTATTAATCTTAAAGCATAGATTAAAAAAAAGTATAATTATATACATATTTTTATTTTATTTATTATTTATTCTATCACCCTTGTTTAAAATAATTTTTAATTTTTAAAAACATTTATTCCAATTAAATTCTAAATATTTGAAAATAAATAAATATATATTTTATCAATTAGTATTTTACGTTTATTAATTATTTAATTATTTCAATTCACTTTTTTTTTAATGAATGGACCAATTTATTATTTTATGTTTAATTTGGAGAACGAACTAAAATAAAATAAAAAAGCTACATTAATATTCAAACATGAAAAGTTGGTTAAGATGATATTGAAAAGTAGGTTAGCGAGGTGATTTGAGCAATAAATTTTAATTAAGAGGTTGTCTGACTTTCACGTTTATTTTATAATAATTTAAGAAAGTAAGATATATATAATCGATTAACATATCTGAAATTCGAATTTTCTTTTGCACGTAATAGTACTATAGATAACTATTCTCCCGACTTCGTGTAAGTGACCTCCAGAAAGATGAATAGTCTCTTTAGAAAATGAGGTTTGCTGTTACCGAATTTGGTCTGCTGATACCGATGTTAAAAAATTTTGTCAAATCGTCTCTCGATGAGTTCTTGTCGATGACTTTTTTTACGTCGGGATATCTTTTTACGATGCTATTTTGGACGTTTTCTAATATTTTCATGTGTCATAATTCTAATTATACACCATATTAAAAATTAAATCTTAGAAAATACACATAATTTAATATAATTTTTTCTTTGTAAAATTTAAATAAGATATTTAAAGAATTAAAAATGAATATAAAGCTTTTTAGTCCCAAAAAAGAATTTATTGTGTAACTAAATTTAATAAATGATATTTAAACAGCTGCTTACACGTGCTTCACGTGCATGTCAGGAACGTTACACGTGTCTCACGTGCTAATTATTAATCTGAAGCTTTATCTCTAATAAAATATAGTTGTAAGTTACCTTTAAAAATAATTATTCAATTTTTAATTAAAAAAAAATGAGTTATTTAAAAAAAACGAATATATAATGTAACACAATTTAATTAATTAAGGTAATGATTTAAATCGAAAGCCCGGTTCAAACCTCCCCAACCCGAGTTAGTCTCATATTTTAACATTAACTTTAAATTTGTCAATTGACGTGGGACCCTCCCTCCAAATCTACCTCCTTGGGGACCAACGTCTTGGCACACTACTTCGTGTCTACCTCCTCCAGTAAACAACGAGAAGGTCAACACATCTTTCGGTGTCTGGCTCTGATACTATTTTAAAGCCTCAAACGCATTTTAAAGTTTTGAGAGAAAATCCAAAAGAAAAAAGGCCAAACAACACAATATCTGTTAGCGGTAGACTTGAGTCGTTACACTAGTTAATAAAATGAGAACCCACTTATTTTTTACATTAATATAAAATTTAAATTATAGAATAGTAATTGAAATATAATAAAATTGAGATGAGGAATAAGAAATAAAATTTCTGCATTTTTATATTTATTTTGAATTAACAATTTCACTATTAAATAAAATAAGTTATCGGCCAATAATTTAGATCCACCAAACATTATATTAAATAATATATTACTAAAGAAAAAGTCACGACACATATTTTAATACAACATGTGAAATATTTATATTATATTTATTTTATTATTCTACAAAATAAATAAATATATTTTTATATTCGAGTAAGTTTTAATTTTTTTTAATCTCAAAATAATAATAAATAAATAATCCTCTCATTTTAACTTATAACGTTTTAAATTATAATTTTTAAATTTATAATAATTAATTTATACGCGAAAAATATCATTAAAATTAATTATTAATTTTTACATGCAATTTATAGTATAGGAAATTTCATTCACTCGTAATATTTTTTATTATAAATTATAAATTACGTAGATTAAATATAAATAACTTTTTTTAGAACACACCTACCATTTTTATAATTTTGTTCGATACCTTTCATTTCACGCTATTTTATTAAAATATTTTTTTATTATAAGATATTTTTTCTGTAACACATGGTATTTATAATATTTAATGAGTACATAATTTATATTCCATTGACTTCGTCAATTTATTAAGCATAAGATGATGTGCCGTGGGATATGGGGTTTGACCGATTGATAATTGTTGTTGTTAGTGCCTTCGTGGCACCCATTAATCTTTTTATTTTTTATTGTTAAATTATGAGTATGGTATAACATTTATTTTTAAATGCATTTACTTATTAAAAATGCAAAAAATAATAAAAATCATTAAAAAAAAAACATAATTGATGCATTATATTTGTGAAAATATTAATTATTCATTTAAATCAACCATCAAAGTCCATTTTGATTTAATTACTAATAAATATTAAAATATTTATATCATTCAACACGTTTGAATTTATTTGACGTTATTTATTTATTTTTTAAATATATAATATTATAAATTTATGCTTATTAGATATAAAATAAAAAAAAATATAGGAGATAAATCAAAATTTAAATATTTTAAAATTATTAAATATTTATTAGACTATGAATTTATTAATAGATATTGAATTTAAGTCCTTTACAACTAATTAAAAAAGAAATATATATATTAATTTGTCTAATTCTTTAATTTTTAAAAGTTTTAATAAAATCTCTAAATTAAAAAATAAACTTAAATTTGAAAAAAAAAACGGTTAATATTTTATTTAAAAGATATATTTAAACTTTTTAAAAGGGTTATTTTCAAAAGTTTAATTAATATTTTAATTTTTTTAAAAAAATTTAAAAAACATCTTTAAACTTTTAAATATTCGGTATTTTTAAATTTTTTTTTTAAACAGTTAAAAGATATTAATTTCTTTTGTATTTAAAAAATAAAGTATGAATATTTTTGGTATAAATATATATTTTAATTTTTTAAAAAAATTAATGGTATTATTATAAAGTTATTTTTTATAATATAAAATACAAATTTATAGATATTTTAATTAATTATAGTTAAAAAAAATTGAAAATAAAAGAAGGATAAAACTGTAAATAAGAAGTTATTAGGGACTAAAAGAACAATACGCCAAACCTATGCGTCCTCGTGTAGCGCTTGCTTGACAGTTATCAAAATTCCACCCCTCTCCCTCTCTCTCGCTGGATATATAAGAACACCAATTTCAACAACAAATTGATTCTACATTTTCTCCAGCTCTGTCTTCTGGTTGATCGATCACAAGGCGTTTTCTCGAGCTCGGAGAGAGTGAGGAGGTATGTGAAATCTTCAGCTCTCTGTACTTTTGAAATCTGTTTTGGCATCTGGCTCTGTTAGTGTGTTAGATTCTTGTTGAAATTTTGTAAGTCTGATTGTTTCTAGATCTGTAATGGTTGATTGGGAGAAGTGGGATGGTGTGAGGTTTTTTTGTGTTTTCTGTTTTAGATCTTGTTTCATTTCTTCTTTCTGTGCTGTTTGGATGATTTAGAAGTTGAATGATGATGGACGTTCTGGTCTTCTGGATGCGTATGTGATCCGATTGGATTAATTTTTTAGAATGGGTGAAATGAGTCGGTAGTTAATGATTACTAGCGAGTTTGATGCACGTATTTATCGGCATTGAAGTTCAACTCCTTGTCTAAAGCGTTTTTAAGAGATGAGCTATTTGAATATAGTTTTTTTTTTTTTTAAACAACCGGATGATTCTAAATTCGTGAAGTATAGTTGAGCACTTATTAGTATAGCTCATCAATAATTAGTATGTATTCATTCATTTGAGTTTAGAGGTTCAAATCTCCTTTTGTACTTAGAAAAATGAATTTGTAAGTGGTTTTAAAATACGAATTTGTATAATACTTGTTTCTTTTCCTTAACTGGCGAAGGAACTTGGAAACCGGTTATGATGGTTGAATTTAATAAACTATACTGATGCCCAAATCAGGAAGTTTAGTTTAGCTATGTCCACCTTCAATAATTACACTGTAATTGACTTCCAACTTTAGTAAATGTGTTTTATTGTGGAATTTTTATAAATTACTTGTGTGTGTATTTTCTTAACTTGGGGGAAAATCTAGTAATTTCCATTAGAGGACAAGTTATTTAATCTTTTAGATGTTTTTCCTAGTGGTCTGTATTTTAAATGTCACTGATTGATTAGAATTTAGGATATTATTCGGTTAACATTTTCCCTGGATGCTTCCACGTTATTGTGCTGCTTTCGCACATTTTCAAAATTAATGATTTTTGGCGAGCCCATGGTTTTGTTTTAATGAGATGAAGAAAAAGAGGGAATAAGAGGTTACATGAGCACTTGGTTATTTATGTTTTTTTTTATTAGCGATTCATGTATAAAATTTGTTCTTAATTGACTGAGATGGTGTAAGAATTGTCTTACTGTTATTGTTTCAGAACTCAGAAGTGCTGAAATTTGTTAATGGTACAGGTTTTCTTCTTTGGCATACCATGGCTCCAGCGGCAGCAGCATCAGCAGACTCGATAAATCCAAGAGGTAGTTCACTTGTTTTCGCCTAGTGTTTTTATTTAAGTCATCCGTGCAAGCAGACGCAGAAAAATCACACTTATTGCATTTCTGTGATGGGTTTGTTTTTTTAACGTTCGATACTTGGCTGTCTAGATGTTTGCATAGTTGGTGTTGCACGCACGCCAATGGGTGGATTTCTCGGCAGCTTATCATCTTTACCAGCCACCAAGTTGGGATCTATAGCAATTGAAGGTAATTGTGATACCCATTTTTCTCCTGTTATGTAAATGGAGTTAACCAATGCTGAAGTATTTTTCCCTTTGATGACTTGTAGCTGCACTTAAAAGGGCTAAACTTGATCCTGCACTTGTACAAGAAGTCATCTTTGGCAATGTTCTGAGTGCAAATTTGGGGCAGGCTCCTGCCAGACAAGCTGCTTTAGGTGCAGGAATACCTAATTCAGTGATCTGTACCACTGTCAACAAAGTTTGTGCGTCAGGGATGAAAGGTTCGCACACTTGTGTTCATTCCAAGATTTTCCATCTTCTTACAGATTTCTAATGTAAAACGTTATTAATAGTATTCTGACAACGTTTATTTTTTATTATTATTTCAGCGACAATGCTCGCTGCACAGAGTATCCAGTTAGGCATCAATGATGTTGTTGTTTCTGGTGGGATGGAAAGCATGTCAAATGCACCGAAGTACCTAGCAGAAGCAAGGTTGCTTTTCTATTCTAAATTTCAACCCATTCATGGTGACCTGAGCTCTAAGCAAAATGTAACTTATTTTCATGCTAATTTGCAGGAAGGGGTCTCGTCTAGGACATGATTCTCTTGTTGATGGAATGCTGAAAGATGGTCTATGGGATGTCTATTCGAACTCTGGAATGGGAAATTGTGCAGAGTTATGTGCAGACAAATATCAAATTACAAGGGAGGCTCAGGTATTGATTTTGATGCATTTTGAGTTTGTGATTCTTTTTTATTATATTTTGTAAATATCTTTACATCTGGCTTTCATGCAGGATGACTTCGCTGTTCAGAGCTTTGAGCGAGGTATTGCTGCCAAGGACAGCGGTGCCTTTGAATGGGAAATTGTTCCGGTTGGATTCCCCTCCATATCATTGCATGGCTTTTGCTCTGGTTGAAAATTACGAGTCTTACATCTATGTAAACTTGCAGGTTGAAGTTTCTGGAGGGAGGGGAAAGCCATCGACTATTGTCAATTCGGATGAGGGTCTTGGAAAGGTACTCCCCTTTCATTCATTTATGCAGGCTATTTTTCAAGTGGTGTGTACCATGTTAGGAATCACGAACCTCTACAATGATATGATATTGTCCACTTTGAGCAAAACCTCTCGCCATTGGTTTCTCCCAAAATGCCTCATACCAATGAAGATGTATTCCTTACTTATAAATCTCTGATCATCTTCTTAATTAGTCAATGTCAGACTCTTTCCCAACGATCCTCAACACACTATGCATGTGTGTACAGTTTTCAAACAAAAAAGCATACATATGTACGAAATTTGTGCATCACGTGCTCAACTCAAAGGGGTCATGATGTAATGGAAATGATTTTAGAATTCTTTAGCAAACTGGTATTCATTTCTGTTGAAAACATTTTTTTTTTTTGTCTTCTCATTCTCTTTTAAATGTTATATGTAATACAGTTTGACCCTGCGAAATTGAGGAAGCTTCGACCAAGTTTTAAGGAGAATGGAGGTACCGTAACTGCAGGCAATGCTTCCAGCATAAGGTAAAGGAAAACTGTTCTTTATATGGATAAGTTGTGCCATAGAATCAATCGAACTTACATTGAAAGTTGGAAAATTTTAAAATGACAGTGATGGTGCTGCCGCCATAGTTCTAGTGAGCGGGAAGAAGGCATTGGAACTTGGGCTGGAAGTGATTGCAAAAATCAAAGGATATGCTGATGCTGCCCATGTAATTCCGGATTCTTGTATTAGTTTTAGTTATTGCTTTCTGCTTTCTGATCATCAAAGCACTTTGTACTAATAATATGGGGAATTGATATGCAGGAGCCAGAATTTTTCACAACTGCACCGTCCCTCGCAGTTCCAAAGGCCATTTCCCATGCCGGCTTAGAAGCTCCACAAATTGATTTCTACGAAATAAATGAAGCATTTGCTGTAAGATTTTTAATGACAAACATGAAAATCATCAGTTTTCAGAACCTTGTTCATCAAATTCTCATATAACCCATGTGATCATAATTTCTGTAGGTTGTGGCTCTTGCGAATCAGAAATTGCTTGGAATCTCTCCTGTGAGTATACCTTCTTGTTGGTGTAGTTGTCTTTTGATATTGGCTAATATTCATATGACCTTCTATGGCCTCACATGAATTGAATAATTGGAATATGACTTGCATTTAGCTAGTCATTCTAAATGTGCTACCTTATCTTTCTTCCTTGTGATTATTTTCTGATCACTGTTCTAAATTCCTTTCATTTGTTCATGTACAGGATAAAGTGAACGTGCACGGTGGAGCCGTGGCGTTGGGACATCCTCTAGGTTGCAGCGGTGCACGTATCTTGGTCACGCTTTTGGGGGTAATTCATCGAAGTCTCTGCAATGCTCCACAACATCTCTCTTACTCACTCTCATTTCAAGCCTGCCATTACCATCCTCTTTGCTTGTCTATGAAAGTAGATATACAACCCATTAACAACAAACATATATCTCATTATAGGTACTAAAGCAGAAAGGTGGGAAATATGGAGTTGGAGGTGTTTGCAATGGTGGAGGTGGTGCATCTGCTCTTGTGTTGGAGCTCGTGTGAAGCCTGTTCTAGTCTCGAAGCGTTGATAAGATAACGTCGTCGGATCACACGGGTTGGTAGTAACTTGTTATCTTATATTTTACCCTGATGATGATGATAGCCTTTTAGCCTTAGGGGTCTGGAAAAGTAGAACTTTTTGTTAATTTGTCAAAGCTTAAAGTGTATGATCAGAATAATATGAATTTTATCCGCAAAGTTCCACTTTCAGTTGGTTTTTCGTATTTAATAAGGTGGAAGTGTATTTTATTGAGCTACCAGAACAAAGTGAAATATTCTTCCTTTGTTATTTGGCTTTGATTTGTTTTAGCATAATTCTAGGTTGTTGTTTGGATGTGTAATGGAATATTCTACCCTTTGTTTTTTTTTTTTTAATCTCTGTTTCTATTTCTTCTTTGAGGATAAATTATATTCTGCCCACTTTCTTTCTATCCTCATATTTGATGTTAATGTTTCAATTTTGAATATAATTTTCAACCCATATTTATTAATATACTGCCATACGTCCAAATTTCTTAAAAGGAATTAAAAAAAAAAAGCTTAAAAGCATTATTTTAAAAGCAAGATTTTTAAGATTTTTATTTCATTTCCTGAGTTAGATTGGGTTGGACTTGAAAAAATCACCCGATGACCTTGAAGTTTACGTCCAACTCAATCAATTCTATATTTTTGAGTTGACTCGACTCATAATAATCTTAAACTTAATAATCTTAAACTTAGGTTAGACTGTAATTCTATTTTTGAACCAGCCAAGTTGACCCAACAAAAGAAATGACAACTTGAGAACGAATCAAATTTTTCAATAGCCCAAACCTAAAAAAGAACTAACCCAACCCAACCGTTATAGTTTAGGTAGGGTAATCCGGGTTGGTCAGATTCTCGAGTCATTTGAACACCCATACCCATAAACATAAAGAAAGTAGGAGAATACCAAAAGTAACTTCTAAATTTGGCACCTAAGTCCTTCAATATTTATCGAACAGTTTTTTCCACAAAAGTAACTTCTAAATTGCGAATCGGAACATAACTTAAGGGTACGAAAAAGGCAAGCACGGTGAAAAGTAGGTGCATAAGGCAACAAGAGAGAAGAAAAACCAATTAGCAAGTTACTCTATAGGGTAAATTTATTATAGAACCATAAATAGGAAAAGATGTCCAAAGCTTTTCTATGGTTGTCATTAAACTCTGGATGTCCGAAGCTTCCTTTCAAACAAGCGCTGCAGCAAGTAGACTTGGAGGACACTGGCCCCTACCAGTGCTGCTGATTCAAACATTGCCTTGTGGACTGCCCTTTTGCTCATTCCATCATTCACTGCAATCAAACCATACCACAAAACACGTCACGGGTTTTCGTCATTTCCATCGGCAGAGCTGTTCAACAGCCAGAATCGAGATCAAACAGGAAACACGTCACGGGTTTTTGGCTGGTTGCCTTCAACACCCATCTGCCATGGACTAAGCTAAGAGTGCACAAAAGAAAAACTAAATCAACTCAACCCGAACTATACGTTGGGTTAGAGTTGGATCTATTGTCTTAATGCAATTCGAGCAATTGGGTTAGATCTAAAGTCTTCTTACCCAATCCAAAGCCTAAACAATGAGCACCTCTCCACATTGAGCCTAGTCTAACAGGGTATCAGCAACCATGATGAAGAAGAAAGCTACTATCATGATCATTGGTACTTGAATAATGCCTACTAACCCACCGATATTGTCCTATTTTAGCTTTTCCTTTTTGGGCTTCCCCTCAAGGTTTGAAACGCATCTACTAGAGAGAGGTTTCCACACCCTTATAAGGAATGTTTCGTTCTCCTCTCCAACCGATGTGAGATCTCACAATCCACCCCCTTGGAGGCCCAGAGTCCTTGTTGGCACACTGCCCGATGTCTGGCTCTTATACCATTTGTAACAGCCCAATCCCACCGCTAACAGATATTATCCTCTTTGGACTTTCCCTTTTAGGCTTTCTCTCAAGGTTCTAAAACGCGTCTGCTAGAGAGATTTCCACATCCTTATAAGGAATGTTTCGTTCTCTTGTTCTCTTCTCCCGTTGATGTGAGATTTCACCACTTCTTTTTGAATAGTCAATTAAATTCCTAAGTTGATGCCGTGGAAATTATTCACGTTTGAGACATGTTCGTCAACATTACCTATTGCCTGGCGATCGGTCTGAGCCTCTAACCAATGCTGTTCAAACTGAATATTGTAAAGAGCTTCCTCCAACTTAGATATTTGATCCAACAAAGGGTTGAAATGCTCTGCAGGCACAAGCACCAGTTTTGAGATTGATATTAACTCGTGAAGGAAGGTCAGTACATGATAAAACAGGGAATGGCATCTTACCATCTTTCGCATGCTGCTCGTGGTATGAAAAGTGACCAACGTGCACATCAAAGTCGATGGTTTCGTGGTATGGGGACTTGTTCGTGAAGCAGAATCGATGAAGACCTTTGTTGTGAGCAACAAATTCATGCTTTTCACTAGCTTTGTCACGGATATCGTGAAGATGTTCGCCAGAAGGACCCTTTATCTAAAATTCAAACAAAAATATTGGATCAGCAGCAATTTCTACCGGCAAAAACAATATAAACACAAGGGTCTCAAATCAAACCCGATATAAGAACTCCGTAAGAAGAGCAAAATCGAGGAAACAAAATCTAAGTTGACCATTAAACACTGGAATAGTCTCTAGAGTCTCTATACACAGCCTCAACTTCAATGCATATGTCCAAAGTCTTTTTGACCGCATCGTACACAAATGACTACGATTAACGATTCTAAGGATGAAACAGGGCCTATGTATAACACCCCAAGAACTAAGTTAAAACTAACCATCTTCCCTACTAAGAAAAGTATCTGCCCGTTCTTGTTTTAGCGTTGGACTTTTCTAGCACCCCAAGAACTAAGAAGTAGATATCGTAAAAAGGTCTCGCTCTGTCTCTATGTGAGATCCCACCGCCGTTGGGGAGAAAAACGAAGCATTCTTTATAAGGGTGTGGAAACCTCTCCCTAGTAGATGCATTATAAAAACCTTGAGGAGAAGCCCAAAAGTGAAATCCCAAAGAGGACATATTTGTTAGCGGTTGGCTTGAGCGGTTACAAATGGTATCAGAGCCAAACACTAGGCAATGTGCCAGCGAGGAGGCTAAGCCCCGAAGCTGGATGGACACGAGACGGTGTGCCAATAAGGACGCTAGGCCCCAAAGGGGGGTGGATTGGGGGGTCCCACATCGATTGGGAGGTGGATTGTGAGATTGTACATCGGTTAGAGAGGAAAACAAAGCATTATTTATAAAAGTATGGAAACCTCTCCCTAGCAAACGCGTTTTAAAAACCTTGAGGGGAATCCCAAAAGGAAAAACCCAAAGAAGACAATATCTACTAGCAATGAGCTTGAGCGGTTACACTCGGTCTCTCCATCTCCATATCAAAGCATCTCCACAAAAATAACTTAAAACAACTAAACCACCTCGTCTACTAACATAAGTCTCTATGCATTCGAGTTTTAGTATCAGTCTTCAAGCACCCAATGAACTTAAGAGGTAACCTTCATCATAAGGAGTTCAAAGAAACAACCTACAAACTAACAGCCTCTTACACAAAGATCAATCCCTCCCCATTCTAGTTTTAGTAATAGTCCTCCAACTCAAGTCAAATCATCTAAAACACCCAAAAAAACAACTGAGAAACAAACCATAGCTTATACTAAGACAAGTCTTGCTCAAGAATCAGCAAGAAACCACTTCCAAACATTCTTGAAACAAAACCCCATGAATCTTGCTTGCCCTGTTTCAAATTCTATAAATGAGAAGGAAATCAAAGCAAAGGGAAGTGAAATGATACCACAAGATCAACGCCATCTTCGCCATAGTGCCATCCAGAATCTGTCTTGATTACAACAAAAGAAACATGAACAGTATCGCCGTCGTACTGAACATTGTGAGAGAAACATTCTTCTCTGTCAATCACAAACCTAATCCCTTCTGATTGTCTCAAATTCAACAGCAATACACCGGCAAACGCCATCATCACCACACATCTCATAGCCCATCGCTCCATTACTTCAAAGAATCAAAGACCCATATGAAAAAGAAGTCAAATCTTCACGATCTGCAATGACCGAATATAAGAAAAAGGAAAGGAAAAGGCAAAAGGGTTTGTAAATTACCTCGAGATTTAGAGGATGAGGGGATGAACAAACAGTTGCCGGCAATTGAGGGAAAAGAGAATCTGAGAATTGTAATAAGTTAAAAGGGTATTTGATCTGAGATCAGATGAGGGGTCAAAACGAGCGGTGGCGCAGTTGGAGTTCGAATAATGTAAGAAATCAAAATGTTTCCAACTAAGAAAAAAAAGAAAAAAAGAAAAAAAAAACCTTGCGATGTCGGATTGCGACGTGTCGGTATGTTATTGGATGGATGACGATGCTTTGACCAACAAGGAAGCATAGTGGACACAGGGCTTTTTTTTCTTCTCTCTTCTAGTGACCTCATTTTAATATTCAAACCCTAAAGTTTAAACATTTTAGTCACCCTCTTAGGAACCACGATCTACTAGTGTTTGAACAAAGTATATCATCGAATCTCTGTTGAACACAACTCTCTGTAGAAAACACTCGCACTCTTTATTAACATCAATTGAGAAGAGAATATAAAACACTTTGTAGAATATTATTACTTTGACATTTCTTCGAATGATACTGGGTAGTGTAGGTAATCTATTCCTAAAATTTCTAAAATACCTAAATCATTTTCCTAAATTTATTCCTAAAATTCATAAATTCTAAATCATTTTCTTAACATAAATAGAGTCACTCGTACAATTGTTCGATGATATTTTAACAGACTCCCCTTCTCTAACTTATTCATTGAACACAAAATTAAAATTTTAATAATATATTAAAAACCGGAGAGAGTTCATAAATTTAAAAGACATCAACTTTAAAGTTTATTTACTTTATTTAAAAAACCCGTTCAACTTTTAAAACGATTTAAAAAATAGCCTTAAATTTTAGAACGGTTAAAAAAAAATCAGTATTTCTAAAATATTTTTAAATTTTCAAAAGCTTTATTAATATCCATAAATTTTAAAATTTTATGGGTATTATTTAAATCTAGTTGGATGTAAATGTATTTTTATTTAAAAAAAAAAAAGAAATATTAAAAAAAACTTTATAAAGTTCCTAGAAATAAAATTAAAAATAGAATTGAAATTGATATTCATAACAATATATAAGCTATCCATTAATACCTACGAAAATATAAACTAATTAAATATTGATAATAAAATAAAATATAATACAAATTAAATTGAGATAATATTAAAATATAATATCTAAGATATATTCCATAACTCATATATTTTCCGAATATTATAAATGCAATGCTTCGACACCGAATCTATTTATACCATTCTCGATTCCTTCGTATTCAGTTGATCAAGATCAAGATCTAAAACAAAATTCATTCTAATTCATAAACCACATCCTCACAAAAACAAGAAGCCTATCCAACTGACCTATGATTCATTTTCGGCTCATACTGCAATATTGCTCTCCTCCATGGCTAATCTTTGGTGCAATCTCCTCTGATGGCTAAGAAACTCCATGAACAACTCCTTCAAATGCTTAGCAGTCGAATACTCCTTCGTTCCTAATCTCACAACCTTCAGCCCGCAACACACACGACCGTCTTTTTCGTTACCGAATTTATTCTGTAACCAATCAAAGTGAACAGCAACAGCAACACCCATCACAAGTTTGATACCAAAAGTTAAATCCCTTGATTAGTACTGAAGCAAAATTGTTTTATCTTCTCTGTTCAATGTCGACTCTAGTTTATCTTGCAGTTCTGTGATGAAATAGGGTTGATTTAAGAAACTAGAAACAGATAGATCATGTGGGATTCTTATTATTTATACTAAGATTCCAGACCATGATACCACGTTGCTTGATTAATTGAAAATTGGATACTTCTTTCATTTTTCTAAATTCAACTTCAAATGCAACTATCAGAGATCAACAGGGCAACTCCTGTTACAACAAAAAATGTTCAAACAGAGTAAATAAGAACTCACCTCCGAGTCTAGCACCATGGCTCCGGCCGCCATTGTCCCGAAAGTTTCGTGCCTCGCAACTCGTCCAGTTACTACCAAGGGCCTGAAGAAAATGAGTGGAAAACTCCCAAACTATAAAATGGAAACAAATCTAAACAGTCAAGGATTATAGAAGCTAGGCGCTATCATTACTCTATAAAACTTTTCTAGTTTGTTAACTTGGAGCACGTTAGATATTTTCTTAGATTTCAATTATTAAATCCAAGATAGTCAGCACATTTATTTGAAAATTTCATTTAGGGAAAAACTTTACCTTCCTTGGGAGGATAAAATGACATGATCTGGATTATCCAAAAAATCACACAACTTCTCTAGGTTCGTTCTGCAATTCAACACAACAGCGCCCCTTGCATACAACTCATATGTTAAGCACGGGAAAATGTATACACGAGGTAATATCAATGTTTCTCCATGCAAGAATTTGGCAAGTTTTACTGGAGAGATTCCTTTATCTAGATTCTCAAGTAGAATCATGTACTGATACTTCATTCCACCAATATCAGCATCTTGCTTGATTACCTCACTTTTTCTGCGATTGAGAGTCTGTTGATCTAGGGGGAGAAAAAATAAGTTCAATTAAGGAACAAAAAGTGATTAAAGAAGTATTCAATAGTGCATGATTAAGATACCACAGTTCCAATTGGAGGAAAAAAATTGCCCCATAGATCTCGTTATTCACACTTGATGAGATTGCTAGATGAACACGACTCTCCACAATGGTATGATATTGTCCAAGTATAAGCTCTCATGGCTTTGCTTTGGGCTTCCCCAAAAGGCCTCAGACCAAAGGAGAGAGTATTCCTTGATTATAAACCCATGATCATTCCCTAAATTAGCCGATGTGAGATTTTCATCATCCAACACCTCCCCTCGAACAAAGTACACCTCCCCCTTAATCGAGGCTCGACTCCTTTGGAGTCTCAATCATTTTTTACTGCCTTCGAGGAGGCTTGACTCCTTTTCTTTTGGAGTCCTTTGTTCGATATTTGAGGATTTACCAATCTATTTGCAATCTATTCGCACGACTAAGTTTAGGGCATGGCTCTGATACTATGTTAGATGAACACGACTCTCCACAATGGTATGATATTGTCCACTTTGAGCATAAGCTCTCATGGCTTTGCTTTGGGCTTCCCCAAAAGGCCTCAGACTAATGAAGAGAGTATTCTTTGATTATAAACCCATGATCATTTCCTAAATTAGCTGATGTGGTCTTCCATCATCCAACAGATAACTGAGAGATTAGGTTCATTCACTAAATAATAAATTGTACCTTCACATGACTTTACCATCCCAGAAGAACGCTTGGCACGTCGTGTGTCCTAGAAATGGAGAGAGCCATCAAGAAATGGAGTCCTCTAATGTAAATGGAAGTTTGAAATGTAACAACTTATTGCTTTGTGAAATCTTGAGCTCTAGAAATAGTACTCACCTGGTTCATGCGTCCAAAAAAGGATAGCCGGCTCTTTAATTTGGGGCGGCAGTCATCCTTCTGATAAACACCACCATCATTATGGGTGGGAGGGCGACCTTCAGAAGAGGTATCACCTCTATTCATTTTAGTTTGGATTTTCTCCCTAACTTTCCTGAAGAAAGTTTCTAACACTGCGTCATTAATTTTACTAAATTGAATTTCACAAATGTTAGCAATACTGGAAATTGCAAAATTCCCAGAGTTTGGACCATTCTGCCAGAAAATGATAAAGTTGCATAAGCATTCTTCTTCTCCATTTGCATAAGAGTGTTCAAGATAATCCACCTACCAATGCACGAGTCATGGAGAAAATGAAAATGCCAAGACTTCCAACTGAATCAATACATTCTGAAACTTTGAATTAAGCATCTTCAAATCTCAAGGGAAGGAATACATCTCAAAGTATGGTTGAACTAAGTTCATGTGGACCTTCATTCTAATCCTCAAATGTTGAATAATTCGTATTCCATTTTGATCAATATAACTTAATCAAAAGAAATGATGTTTTTAGAAATTTAAGAACAAAAATGATCAAAAGTGTTCGAATGAAAGATTGAAGTTTCAAATTCATACAGAAAATCAATGTTTAATCCATATTCCATAGTAATTTCAGAAAGTTCATTTTCGGAATAGTAATTGCTATTATGGCGGTAAAGCATGCATGCTCTGAAACATGATGGAGAACCTTTCAAAACTCAGACTGTTCTATGGCATATGACCAGTTTTAGACCGTCTAAGATCTTTAAAGGCCTTGGTCGAAAAAGTTAAAAGCAACTGAGAGGCTAAAATTTCAAACAAAAGGAAAATCAACAGGGAGCTTTCCAGCAATAATCTCAAGATTCGAACAACAGGAAAAGTGTAAAGTAAAAGAACGAACCCCTTCCACAAGAGCGTCGTAGAAGCGAACATCATCGGCTCGAGAGGAGTAGGAAGCGCAAACAGGCATGCCAGGGTCGATGTTAGGGCATTCGAAATCCTGCAACTGTCTGGACAGAGGCCGAAACCTACCTTCGAAGTCGCTCAACTCCGATGAGCTCCGGAAATGGTTGGCGGTGAAGATATTGTCGTGCTCCCCAGCGAACTCGGAATAACTGATCCTAAGAACATCGCCTTCGAGTTTCACAGTCACATTGTACCACGCGTTATCGTCGGACCGGAACTCCAGGTCGCCAGAGGCCGCGGCTCCGGCAGAGAACATGGCCGGGGAAACAGGGACGAGTTACCGTGGAAGTTCCTATAGATAAGCCGTGGATGTTCGTATTTTCACGCGCGCTCGTACCGTCTGCAATTTTCACCTCATTTTGTGATTTTTTTTAATTTATTAAAATAATTATTACATTATTCATTAATAAAATATCATTTTTTTGAATTGTTTTTTTTTTCCTTACTTTTTAATATATTTTATAAATATATTAATCTACGCTCCACATTTGCAAATTTGTTCCTTTTTTCTATTAAAATTGAAAAAAACATTTTTTTCAATTTAATCTAAATCAAATTTAAATTAATTATCTCATAACTCTTCAAAATTAAATGACAACCAAATATTTAAATTTTAAAATAATAATTTATTTAATTTTTATGACCAAAATTAGACCCTCCCTAGGACCTTGGGTCCTCGCTGGCACTCCCTTCCTCAATCGATGTGGGACCCCCAATCCACTCCCTCTCGGAGCCCAGCATCTTTGCTAGTACACTGACTCGTGTCCACCTCCCAACTAGGCTCAATCTCCTCGCCGGCACATCGCTCAGGATATCATTTGTAATGGTCCAAGTCCACCAATGACAAATATTGTCTTATTTAGGTTTTCTTTTTCGGGCTTCTCCTCAAAGTTTTTAAAACAAGTTTTGTACGGAAATGTTTCCATACCCTTGTAAAAAATACTTTGTTTCCCTCTCCAACCGAGGTGGGATCTCCCGAACTATGCTATGGTGCGCAACAGTTATGGTATAAATATATAGCTTGAGCTTTATTTTTCCATTTTGGGATCTAATCAGTTCCAACTCAATACCATAGGTTCATAAGATCAGAGCCAAATGGGTATCAAAACATGTTCAACATACAGCAGTTTCAAGCTTCTAAAAGCTTTAAGCAGAAATATCTTTGCCAAAAAGCCCGGCTATTCCCTTCGTCGGGTCGCTCTGTTTCACAATCGACTCGCCAACGAGAACCTGCAGAAACCACGTAAAACAATCTCAAATGCCATGGCTGATGCAACAATGGAAGCCATGAATCCAAATATGAAGAAGCTTACAGCTTTAACACCAGCTTCTTGCACATAAGCAATATCTTCAGGAGTGAACAGCCCAGATTCTCCCACTATCTGAACAATCCTCACAACAAACAAGGGAATATCAGATGAGGTAAAAGTTTGATGTGTTCTTCATAGTTTGATGAGACACTTTATACTTACGGTTATGTTCTTCTCGCGGATCTTTTGTCCGCGCTCTCCTTCAAGAAGCTTTTTTGTGTTGCTGATATCGACCTCGAATGTTTCTGTAAGATATTGTTTTACAAACAAGTATATAAGTAATATAACTATCGATGAGTGACAATTGCTCGTGTTTCGGAATACTAAAACTAGTTTAAAGCAATGGTCGTTCCTACGATGTCCTATGTAACAGTCCAAGCCCACCGATAACAGATATTGTCCTCTTTGGGCTTTCCTTCAATGTTCTAAAACGCGTCTTAGGGAGAAGTCTCCACACCCTTATAAGGAATGCTTTGTTCCGCTCTCCAACCAATATGAGATCTCACAATCCACCCCTCTTGGGGGCCCAACATCCTCGTTGGCACACCTCCCGGTGTCTGGCTCTGATATCATTTGTAACAGCCCAAGCCCACTGCTAGCAGATATTGTCCTCTTTAAGCTTTCCCTTGAGGAGCAGTATTGTCCTCTTTAAGCTCCCCCTTGAGGTTTTAAAATGTGTTTACTAGGGAGAGGTTTCCACACCCTTATAAGGAATGCTTCGTTCCTCTCTCCAACCAATGTAGGATCTCACATCCTAAGAGATGTAGTTTGGTACAAATTAATGCAATAGATTTATCAATGGAGAAATGAGAAGTTTAGCAATATGAACAACGTAACAAAAGTAGTCAAACATTACCGAGATTCCGATTGTTGATGCCAATAAGCTCAATGCCTTCGATCGCAAGCATACGGTCCATTTCCTTCTCGTCGTGAACCTACAAATAAAGAGATCAAAAGCTTGTACAATAATGATAAGCAACATATACAAGATGCCCCTAAGACGACAGGACATTGTTACCTCAACGAGGGGGGTCAAACCGACCATCTTGCAGATTTTAGTCATATATTTAATGTCGAGATCAGGCAAAACAGCAGCAATCAAAAGAATGGCATCGGCACCTTTGGATCGGGCATAGTAGATCTGCCATGCATCGACCACAAACTCCTTGCACAAGAGAGGGCACTGCATATGCATATGTTTCCTACTATTATAAGTACAATTCACATACCAATATGTCAAATTATGATCCAACATGACAAACCTCCACTCCGGCATTCCTTATCTTCTGCAGATTCTCAAAGCTTCCCTAATCCCCAAAAACAACAGATGTTAAACTTAGGAAATGAATTTTCAAAAAAACACCGTCCAAGAGATAGAAGGAATAGCAGAGCTCCTAAAATGCTCTTCACCTGAAAAAACTTCTCGTCTGTGAGAACACTAAGGCATGCTGCTCCGCCTTTCTCGTACGCTCGGGCAATCTCAACCTATTAGCATTTATCAAATTTACATTAAATAAAAACGACTCGATAATTTCAAAGCAAAAGTAGCTAGATAAACACGTGCTACTTTAACAAGTAGTTGAATCTTGAGTTTTGATAGTTAAAAAGCTCAAATTTCATAGCATTGTTGTATAGCTGAAGTTTTAGGCACGTATGCACAGTTGGTAAGTTCCTGCTTGATGCACTTAACAAACTCGGTAAAGCAAATCGCTACCGTTCCTAGGTAAAACATGTCTAGTTTATTCATCTTTACACTCCCAGTTCGAGGCCTACTACAACATTTGGACAAAACTGGGCGTTGGCAATGAACACCTAGCACATCTTCAGTCATTTTTACCTCGTTCTAGCAACCCCACTAATTTGTTAGAAATGATGTGCTAGCACAAAAGGTTAGGGTAATGCAAAGCAACAATGCAAATGCTATTTGTGTGTTTTACAAACATTTAAGAGGTTCTATGGCCGGGGATTCGAGTTTGAGCACTTTTTTGTATAGTTAGGTGCTAGGCTCCTTTAGCGTGGGCTGTTTTCCTTTTATCAGCCCGTGGACCTTTTGTCTTGCTTTCTTTCTGTAATAGTCCAAGCCCACCGCTAGCAGATACTGTTCATTTTAGCCCGTTATGTATCGTCGTCAGCCTCATGGTTTTAAAACGCGTCTACTAGAAGGAGGTTTCCACACCCATATAAGGAATGTTTCGTTCCCCTCTCCAACCGATGTGAGATCTCACAATCCAACTCCCTTGGAGGCCAGCAAGTTGGTGACTGGCTCTCATACCACTTGTAACACCCCAAGTCCACCGCTAGCCAATATTGTCCACTTTGCCCATTACGTATCGCCATCAACCTCACAGTTTTAAAACACGTCTACTAGGGAGAGGTTTCCACACCTATACAAGGAATGTTTCGTTACCCTCTCCAACCGAGGTAGGATCTCACACTTTCGTTTGTTCTCAATAAAAGTTTAGTTTCTCAAGGGGGAAAAACAAACATCGAAGTAGTGCTTAGCTCAAAGATCACGTTTATTTAACTTCGGTTAAGAAACCTAACGTCATTTCCTATGTGGAGTTGTTTATCCCATACTATAGAGTAGTTAGTCGCACATACTACGTGAACTCGTGTTTAATAAACCCACACTCAACCTATTCTTCACATGATACAAAAACTTTTAAGATCAAAAACACCTACTAACTACGAGTTACACAAACTTAGGTTCTTATAACCTATTTCTTTTACAATCCAAACAAAGATTTCACAACCTCATACTTCTTAGGCCTAAAACACCTCTTAGTATAAAAACCAATCAAATCAAAATTTGGTACTGCAAAAATTGTGCAGAGATTTATGAAATATAACAACAAAATAAACAGTCAAGAACACTCACTGGATCAAAATCCTCCCTTAGAACTCCTCTGCTAGGTGAAGCCTTTTTCACTTCAGCAATCAAACCAGGTAAGTTAGTTCTAAGATAGGCAGCCTTGAGAGCTCCAAGGAAATCTCTAGCAGGAGGGGCGCTCTCAAGATCCTTTTTCAACGAAAAGAGAGGCCTTCTTTCTTTCATCTAGAAACATTCAGAAACCAAAAACACTATCAGCCTACAGACAACATCCTAAAATATGGGAATACAAATCAATCAAATGTCCCACATAATGTTACCTGTGAAACTTCCTTGTCCTTGTACCATATGATCTCCTCCAAAATATTCCTAGGAGTGTTCCCTTCATTCTGTAATCTGAACTGAAAAGGTCCAACGTAATGCAATGGCGGCCCGGTGGGCGGCCGACGGCGAATCCTTATGCCTTGACTTGCTGCTACTTCATCTTGGAACATCCCCACTTCCCACTCCTTCACTTTCAGATCATTTTCTTTTGGTTCATTAACCGGGGAAGCCGCAGCTGATCCAGCCTCGGATTCTGTCTAAAAAACACAGAATATGCACTCATTACGAAACAATTCCTCCAAGAATTCGACTATTTGGATGAATATATGAGAAATCTAAATCTTCTCAGATGGGCAAAATGCAGATTAAGCACAAAGAAACAACGAATGCACGAACTACAAAGAAAAACCTAAACCCCAACAAAGAAAATCCAGATTGGAATAACGTAGAAGTCGAAATCCAAACCTGTTGAGCTCGGATGGCAGGGGAAATGGGGGAAGAAGAAGAGGCAACAGAGATTGAATTCCTCGACAAAGCGTCCATTGAAGGCCGACGATTCAACCTTCTGGAGAGAAACTTGGACCTGCGAATAGAAGAGGAAATGGGTGGAAAGGAAACCTTGGGGATTGTTCCGAGGGAAGCGAGACCCTCCATTGCCGTTCAACTCTAGCTCGTTTGAATGCCCTGCTTTTGTGAAGCAGCTTGCTTTATATTGGCGAATTGTGGGAGTTTGCGGCAAAATGAAGAAAGAGGTCAAAACTAATCTGTCGTTGGAACTTAGAGACAGAAGAAGTTGAGCTTTAAAAAAAAATAATTTTCCCTAATTTTAAAATTGGTCTCACTTTTGTATTTTTCT